GCCACAGAAGAATGCTGCTTATGCGGAGGAGGTTCATAAGTTATGATACATTGAGGAGGGATTTTGCTCCATGTAATAGGCCTGGTTCTTCATACTATAATTGCAAGGGTGCTGGTCCAGTTAACACTTACAACAGAGGTTGTGAAATTATCACAAGGTGTGATAGGGGAGATTAGTATTAGACCTCTAGAATGGAGGATGCCCATTGAATTGGTAAAGTAAGAAATTGGTATTTTATGAGTTTCATGTCTAGTAAATGTTGGTGGGTTCTGGTTAACTCTGATTTTATGATCTCTAGATAATGATCCTAATGTTATATTCCACTTGGAATTTTAAGGAGATCCAGAGCTTGTTTTGGCTCCTAAAATGGTGGCTAAATGCCTTTGGGGCTATTATATTGGGTTTATCCTTGTATTGAGAGTTATTATTTGAGGGTTTCGTTCTCTTATGCCCAGAGTTAATATTCTGGAAGATTAATTAACATGGAATGAATGTCTTAGGTTAGATATGCGTAATAGTAGTACAATCCCTTTATGTATGATGTCTCAAATAAGTAATGCTTCATTGTACTCCCCAAAAAGGGTTTAGCTTAGATCAGGTCTTTATTCATAAATTCTGAGTAACTTAATGGTATAAAGTATAGAGCATAAACGAGAGGTAGGTAGTTTTGCTTGCTCTTCTATGTTTTCTACATTTACTTGAGCAGTTTGGCTGTTAAGTCAGAGAATTAAATTTTCTGGCCAAATCTGGATATTATATTTTTGTTTCTTGGTTGTGCTTCAATCTTCGCTTTCAGATAAACCGATTAACTTCTTTTAGAACGATAAGATGAATGCCAATTTCAGTTCCAATATCCAGATACCATCCAGAAACTTTAATGTGCCTCTCGAAGGATGAACGTGTTATCTTAATACAATAGTTCTGGCAAATGGTTGCCAAAGAATTCCGGATTATCCATATCGACATGGCATGAACTTTTCTTCTTTTGATATGGTACCTTGTTTTATTATTGCTGTTCTTCACATTATTTTCCAGCCTAGTTCAGTAAGAATGGAGAGCAAATTGATGACATAGGAAAAATATTACTGCTTTGAGAGCAAAGAAGAGGCAGGAGCTTGCTGATTGTTGTTCTCTATTATATGTAACAAGTAGTATCCCTTTTACTGAAGAGCTGTTTATTTTGGATCCTACAGACATCAGAATTGTAAGAATGCTGGAATCATTCATGCTGATTTTTGTTTGTTATTCTTTCTTCCTATTCCTATCTCTGTTTCCTTCCCTTGTTTATTATGTAGCTAATTTTGAACAAGGTTTTCGATAATTTTCTTTTTTGGAACATTTTTTAGGCCGGGGGGGGGGGGGGGGGGGGGGGGGGTTGTGTGTGTTGGTTGGTAGTAGACTTAGCTAACTAACTGTTGCTAGTAACCAAACTCTCAGTTCTTTATCACTGAGAATATACTTTTGTTTCAAGTTGGAAGTAGATACATTCATTGTTCTGATGACTTAGCATTCACTCTGTGAAATGCATGATCTCATTGTTCATTCTTCATCACTTCAGCAGTATTCTGAATTACTGAATTCTGTCTCTAGTACTATCCTATCTTCCTCTCATTTTAATTTGGTTCTCTACTCGAATTTATCTTTCACATATATTCCTTTGCACAATTCAATGACTGAAAAGCTTGTTCTGGGTTAAACTGTCTGATTCTGAATGCGATGCTGCAGTCCTAGCAATGTGTTCATTTGAGTACAGAATAGGAAAGAGAGGTTTTCTGCAAGTTGCTTGTCGGATATTTGTTGGTATTCCTCATCTCTGAATTTATTTGACCTCTTGTTTGCTGGTTCTTCTTGTTTCCTTCCGTTCTTTTTTCGTTTTGGCGAGTGGGTCTTTTTGATTTAGAATCTGTAATACAATTTCCCATGAACACAACCTATTGCTTGCTAGCTTAGAACTTAAGATCAATGTCGATGATCTACGAGGTTGGAGCTGTTGACAAGTTTTCAGTGAATCAGCCCATCACCTTTGTTACTTTGAAACTTTTTCCTCCAAAGTGAGAGTCCCTTCTTTTCATTTTTCAGTAGTAGTATTTCCACCTATCCTTCGCTACAGTTTGCAAGATCACTACTTCAAAAACATTCTTCCATCTTCAAAATTTTTGCACTCTATCAATAGCTGAATTATGATATCCAAAAGAAGTCCATGACTAGTGCTGCAACTTTGTTTTACTATTTAACTGTCTGGTGGCAGTTGTTATCTCTGTTTGGGGCATTCAGTCATAGCTTGTCCTTTCACGTTGATAAACTTTGCTCCTACAGGCTGTGATTTGTACAATCATAGGTGAAATTTTCACTCAATCAAGGCCTATAAATAGGCAAGCAGCGGAGGAGATTCAAGTGCTGAAATTTTCACTTCTACAGGCTGTGATATTGAAGTGCTGATGCATTAGAGCTTTAACATTTTCGAACTTGAGAAGCAGTAGTACACTTCTGAACCTCAGTTTTTTGTGACTGATGATTCTCTCTTTTCATTTGTGCTTTTGCCTTCTACCTGAGAACCCTTAAAACCTCTGAAAACAGAGAGGCCTTGTTCGGCAAACAAGTTTTTGATCAAGTTTACCTGCTACAAGTTTTTTAACAACTTTAGCTACAATAACCTCAAAAAACTTCTTTAAAACATCCAAAAATTTACACACTTCAAAAAAAATTTCTACAATAAATTTTTACAGTAAACTGCAGTAAAATTTCAGACAAACATCCAAAAAACTCACTTGTTAAATGGAGCAAGAAATGCAGTAGCTTAATTCAGTACCTTAAAGTCTGTACTAAATGCAACCCAAATCAAGAGATAAATTCCGCCTACAACACTAAGTAGCATCACAGCTCATGATATGTGTGTTTATGGAAAAAGATGTCGGCCAATTGTTAATATTTACCAATCAAATGATTAGTACATGGGTGCAGGTGGCCGACCAATGCCTACCAAACCAAAAGAAGAAGACAGAAACGAAACGAAAACGTGAAGATACAGCAAGTTCAGAAAATCGGCATGTTGAAGTTGATTGCGTGGATTGAATTTCCTTAATTGATAATACATTATTGGTTACCTCATTATGATCTTGCACCCATGAGTTTTTTTATTCCATACTTTCTACGGGCATATCTACAGGGAGGCAAACATGAGCGCGGATCCTTTGACAAGGATTGGGGGGGGGGGGGGGGTGGGGGGAATATATCACTTCAAAATTGTAGTTTTGGTCCCAAATGGATGTTTAGAGTACAAGCAGTTTTAGTCCTGGAAACTTGGACGAAAGTAGATGAAGTTTCAAATGTTTCAATTTTCAAACACATTTAGTCTCATTCATTGATTTTTTTGCTAATTGTTACCGGAATTCAGTCATATACTATCACATGCCAGTAACTAATTTTTTTTTTTAAAAAAAAGATAAATATTGTTAGCCATAATATGTAATAAAAGAGGATTAATTACCCGCATGCCAATCACGCGAGTAATTAGTCTTTTATTGGGGGTAAAAAGAAATTACTCAATATCGACATGTGAGTAATTAGTCCTCTTTTATTATCAATTATGGCTAACAATATTTTTTTAACATTATTTAAATTTTATTCATAAAATTAATTACCGGTACATGATAGCACGTGATCTAATTCTGGTTGCAATTGACAAAAATCATATTAAACATGACTAAATGTGATTAAAAATTAAAATAATTAAAATTACATTTGCTTTCATCCAAATTTTAGGGATTGAAACCGCTGATGTCCTAAACATAAATATATTTGAGAACAAAACTATACAATCCATCCATCCGCTGATGTCTTAAAGTAGTGTTATTGCAGGCTGATGTTGTAAGCTGTGAATTTTATTTTATTGATCTTATTCTTACCCAAAAAAAAAAAAAAAAGAATCATGAAGCACGTGAAAGAACACGTGAAATTAGCCGGGAATTTCTTTATATTATTCAGAAGAAAAATAAAAGAAATGTCATTTTTGTCTCAATAAAACCCTAAGACAAGGAATTGACGCCACTTAGGGAAACTAAAACCAAGAAAAATGAAATTGCAGAAATCTGGAAAAGTGAAATGCTTCAGCTAGCCAGCCACAAGCTAACACGTGTCCTGTGGGACTCCAAATCAAAAGCAGGTGGTGACGGGTGAGTGGTGAGTGATGGGATACATATAAAATATCCCCTACATTCCAAAATTGTTTATCACATGTTGAAATTCTAATTTTTAAAATTAAAATAGTAGTGATTTGATAATGATGTTAATAAATTTCGTTTTTAAATTGCCCTTAACAACTCAAATAAATAATATTTAGAAAGATCAAAAATAATTTACAAAAATTTTAAAACATCTCAAAATGATTTCATATAACGCTTTCAATGGAACTTGTTTTCTAGGGAAAAGTATGAAGAATATGATAGATAAAATCTGAGGCATGAATCAAATATCTGATTTTTCTGATGTTGAGCAGCTCAGAAAAATTTGTTCCCTTCACCACGAAGCAGCCAGTGATAAACCGACTACGAGGCAAAAGACAATTGCAAAAATTTGTTCTCTTGCCTGGAACTGGAAGTCACCCCGTGATGTACTCAATAATTTACTCCTAGACAACATGATGTATCGTACTCTACTTTATTGCCGACTAGACATTTTCCCCATCGGGCCACCGGTCCTTAAAGGCTGGTCAGTGGTCACCACCAGTCTTTGAAGTCAAATTCAACTTTTATCTCCCATCAATTTATTACTATGTAACTATCTAAATTAATCATCTTCGGCAAAATTTCTATTCACGTCGACCCTTCTTCCTAGATTAACTTAAACAAGATTATAAAAACAAAAATTCTACCGCTACGAAAAAAAACCATTTTCCTCGTTAATAATGAAAGCACACCATTCAATTCTATCATTATATGCATTCCATGTTACAGAATGAATGCCGAAAGGATCTGCAGCCTTTGTAAACACTTGCCTACGTCTGCTGCCAAAGAAATCAATTCAAAACATTCACCAACCCAAACAGCCTTGGTAAAACATTGATGCCATTATGTAAAAGACTTTTACTAGAGAAACCAACAAAATTCTTTTTCTTTTGTTTTCTCGTGCAAACAAGAAGAAAAAAGCAATCGACCTAAGCTGGAGCAGCTAAAATTATGATCATTCCACACCCCCATACAATGCCCTTATTCAACATTTCTTGGTCAGAGACCATATTTCTTTCTTCCGATCATTTCAACACTCCCAACAACACCTCCAAAAATCAGAAAAAAAAAAAAACTAAATTCCTATTGTAAACCCGCAATGTAACAGAAAAAAATCCATGCTGTTAAACAAGATCGTTGCAAAGTGTTGACATCTCTCCCTCAGTACCTATAGTGAGGAGGCTTGTAAGGACCCTCAACGGGCACGCTAATATAGTCAGCCTGATCCTTGGAGAGCTTAGTGAGCTTAGCACCAAGCTTACCAAGATGGAGTGCAGCAACCTTCTCATCAAGATGCTTGGGCAAGACATAGACCTTCTTCTCGTACTTTCCGGTACTCTTCTCTTTCCAGAGCTCAAGCTGGGCAATCACTTGGTTAGTGAAAGAGCAGGACATCACAAAGCTAGGGTGCCCTGTGGCACAACCCAAGTTCATGAGACGACCCTCAGCCAAGACAATGATGCCTGATTTTGTTTCAGGGAAGACCCATCGGTCTGTTTGGGGCTTAATTGTGATCCTCTTAACACCTGGGTATGTCTCAAGACCAAGCATGTCAATTTCATTGTCAAAGTGGCCAATGTTGCAAACAATAGCGTTGTTCTTCATCTTCTTCATGTGGCTAACCATGATGATGTCTTTGTTGCCGGTGGTGGTGACAAAAATATCAGCTTCGGAGACAACATCTTCCAGGGTCAAAACTTGGAAGCCTTCCATGAGGGCCTGAAGAGCACAAATTGGATCAATCTCAGTCACGATAACACGAGCACCAGCTTGCTTCAAGGCAGCAGCACAGCCCTTTCCAACATCTCCGTAACCGCAAACAACTCCAACCTTTCCAGCAATCATCACATCAGTGGCTCTCATCAACCCATCAGGGAGTGAGTGGCGGCATCCATACAAGTTATCAAACTGTATCCACCAAGTTCAAGAACACTCCATTAGCTCATATTGATGCATAACTCCAACGAATGTAAATACTCAAAATTAACTACCAACACAACTTTAATAACCAAGATTTTCAAAACCAAATCAAAGCCATTAATAACCTGGATTGCTTGCTAAGTACAACACTACCATATAGCATAATAAAAAGATAACATCCACATATGCTATTGCCCTATTTACATCAATAGAAAAATTGAAACAAACAGCTCAAGAAACTGAGGCAAAGATTGTTTTTCTTCTAAACGCCAATCCAGATCATAGCATAATAACCAACTCCACTACTTCAATAAACAATATGTATGCTTGCATTGTCCAACACCATATCCTACTAGAATTTTATACTGTTTGGCAACAACCAACTTTACAAAATTAATCTTCTCACTCGAACAAGAATCAATCAATTATTGAGTTCAGCATTTACCAAATCATAGATCTAAGCCAATATAAGGAAACCCAAATCAGATCTACTATACAGACCACGAATTCAACCAAACTAAACTGGATCCTGGCCAGTAAGCATAAAAAACTATATCCCAAATTCAGATCTAATAACAAATCAAATATTTTCACCATCAAAATCATACCTTGCTCTTGGTAACAGAGTCGTTCACATTAATGGCAGGGAACAGAAGAGTCCCATTAGCCTGCATTTGGTAAAGCCTCTTAACACCAGTGGTGGTCTCTTCAGACACTCCAACTAGTCTCTCCTTCATTTTGGCATATTTCGTGGGATCGGTCTTCAACCCATCTCGAATAATAGTCAAGACAATCTGGAACTCAGCGTTATCAGTGGAGGCTGGATCGGGCAACTTCCCGGACTTCTTGTACTCTTCCTCCGCCTTCACTCCCTCATGAATCAACAATGTGGCATCACCACCATCATCGACAATGAGATCCGGGCCACCGCCGGGACCCCAATCAAGGGCCCGCTCCGTGCACCACCAGTATTCCTGGAGGGTCTCGCCTTTCCAGGCAAAAACGGCGGCGCTGTCGCGGGCAATGGCGGCAGCAGCGTGGTCCTGGGTGGAGAAGATGTTGCAGGAGCACCATCTGACCTCGGCGCCCAATGCCGTTAGGGTTTCGATCAAGACGGCGGTTTGGATGGTCATGTGCAAGCTGCCGGTGATCTTGGCACCCTTGAAGGGCTGGCTGGGCCCGAACTCAGCCCGACAAGACATGAGCCCGGGCATTTCGACCTCGGCTAGCTCGATTTCGAGCCGGCCGAAGTCGGCTTGGGACATGTCCTTGACTTTGTACTCCCTACCGGAGGTAGTTTTCTCTACTAGCAAAGCCATGGCTTAAAGCTGATGGGGTGAAATGGGCTCGGGCCGGGTTGGATTTAGTGTCTGGTCTTTTTGTGCACTCTCTCTTCTTTTGGGGGGTTTTCTGCGGTAAAGAAGAGAGCGGGACAAGAGGAAGGATTGGGAATGGAGGTATATAAATAGGTTTTAGAGATGGGAATGGACTTGATCAAAAAAAAAAAAGATGGGAATGGACGGTGGAGATTTGAGATTGGAGATCTGGGGATATTTGGGGTTTGGTGAAGTGATGTGGAAATCTGCATTGATGATGATTGGAGGAGGGATTTGGTATAGGGATAAATAGAAAATATCAGAGGAGAGGTTTATCTTAATATTACTTGACACCCCTAAAGTTTTAAAAATATCACTTAGCTCCCTTACTTTTGTTATTTGTGTAACAAAATTTTTAAAAGCCCTAAACTATCCCTTTCACTTGCTAAATAATAATATTTCTAAACCACTTTGTTCACTTCAAGAAAACCATCATCTAAAAAATAATTTTTTATAGTACTACCATATCATAATACTATGTCCCATAAAAAATAAATTTAAAAAATAAAAAAGATATTTGAAAAGAAATACACTTGCACCAATTTAATTCTATATGTTTAAAACCAATTTCTTATAAACTTTACATTTTTTTTCAACTTCTTCTCAACCCTTCCCCAAACTATTAAATTGTACCAATCATTATAAAAATTAACTCAAAATAAGCAAATAAATCATACCCCACTTTATCACAATCACAAAAAATAAAAATAAATAAAATTTAATTTATTATAATTTACAAATAAAATATTACATAGTCATCCAAAAATGAGTAATAGAGAATGATAGAGAAAAAGAAAAGAGAAGAAAGTGACTTTCATTTCTTTTTTTTAACTTTTGAGTTTCATTTATTTGATATGTGAATTATGTGCCAAGTGAGAGTTAATATAGTCTTTTTACAATTATTAGGAAAGGTAAGTGATATTGCAAAATTCTCAAGGGTGCTAAATGATATTAAGAGAAATCTCCATGGAGGTTTTGATATTATCCCTTTGGTAAATTAGGAGTTTGAATTCACTGTTGAGATGTGGTTAAAGTGGAAACAGGGTAAAAAGAAAAGTAACAAGTTTCCTTTTGACAAAAAAAAAAAAAAACTTTTATACATTAACAGTGTAAATATTAGCGAATTTAGATGCACGTCACATGTATAAAATCTGATATTCAAATTAAAATGTAAATAATATGGCATACATCTAATGCCGTCAGTGTATACACTAATAAAAAGTTTTAATCTTTGATAAGTGATAAATGAGGTTAAAATAAGGTTCTGAATTTTAATCTCCTATTTCCTCCTCACTTCTTAAATCTCACTTTTTTTAAAAAAAAAATTAAAAAGAGCTTAAAATAAGGTTTAGACTCCAAACACCCAAAATGATATGTTAAAGAGGTATAGTTTTAACCTTTGAATCAGCTGCTTTATTACTTTATTTGATTTGAAGGGAGGCTTTAACTTCTACCCAAAAAATGGGGAAAAACATAGGGTTTGTGAGTTGAACCATGAAACTCACAATTATCTTACCGGAGTAATATTTTTACTATCTAATTTGATTGGTTTTTTACTTTACATATACATTTTAGCACACAATTTTCCGTCCTTAACCGTGTTTTCCACAAAGTTTATTGACATTTATACTGTTACTCATATTTATACACTTTTTTTTGTGTAAGTAACAGGTCTCGAACCCAGGATCTCTCACTTGCACTGTCCCTCCCGTACCATCCAACCCATCCCTCACCCGATGTTTATACACTGTTACTGATATTTTCACAAAGCAATAGGGCTGCGGAGCTGGAGATTTGATGGATCAATATGTCATGAATGAAGTATGAATGACTACATACAGAGCAAAGACTACTAACAACACAAAAACGTAAAAAATGGAATTTGGCTAAAAAGGAAATTTGAAGTGAAAGGTAATAGTTTAGACATGAGATTCAACTAATTTAAAACACAATTCCGTTGCTGTTTTCTAAAGTATTTGTAGAAAAATACACTATAGCAATTTGAGATATATATATATAAATTAAAAATGTAATTATGAAAAATATAAAAAAATTTATGTTAGAAAATTGCAATTCAAACAACACCTTAATATTTCACTTGATAATCCACGGACACAACTAAGAACTTGTTCTCTATTTTCTTGATATACAAAAATTGTTTTCAAATCAAAAGCTAAAACCACGTCTTTAAAATCATTTCAAAACAGAACTTGAAGATGGATATGGTTATTTTGGTCAATTAGGGGTGTTTCAGGGGTGGTTGACCAACCACTCATGTTTATTATTTGGGTTAACGAGAGTTAGTACAGCACAAAGCCAAAGGATTCCTTTGAAAATTCTTGCAAATATTTGTAAAAATTGAATAAACTATTCTTTGAACATGTAACCAAAACTTTTCCTTGTAAACATGGCATTTTTTTTTTTTTGTCTTAGGACCACTAGAAAAGGATGTTTTTGTCTTGTCCTCCTTTTAGGTAGGAAACTTTTTTAGAAATGCTTCAAACAACAATTGATTCTCCAACTGAATGAATTTCGTTATCTGGCTCAATTGGGTAGGTAAGTTTGGTGATCCTGTTTCATATTTTTTATCGGCCTATCAAGTACTGAAATTTGGTTGAAGACTAGATCTTGGTGCCTAAGTTCCTGGCATTTCTTCATTTCCGGAGTCCAGGAATTTCTGCTGCAAAAGGGGAATCAAATCCTCTAAACTTAAGCAGTACCAGAAATTGGCTACTGGAGTTTTTAACCGTTAACCTTTTTTTCAGTTTACTCGAAAGTGTGTGCACTCTGTCCGGAACACCACATGACCGACGGCATACTCAAAACGTTGTAGTTTTCGGTCTCCCTTTTGTGCGGGACATGGATGGTTGTCGGTCCCTAAAGTCTAATTTGTGAGTTGAGGATAGAAAAGAAAAGAAAAGAAAAGAAGAGCAAGGTTAAGTTATGAAAAAAAAGAAAGGATAAGAAAAGAAAGAGAAAGATTTTAATGTTAGTTGAGAGTTTATGAAAGAACAAGAAGATGATTTTGTGCCCATTGATCAATAAATATTCCATTCAATAGCTTCTCAAAGATAGAATGGGCAATTTAAAAAATTTTTACAGCCTTTCCATAGCTTTTCTTTGCTTTCTGCCTGATTTGGGTTGGAAATTTTTTTTTAACTGTAGCAGGTCTCTTCTTCCTCCGAAATCAGTCATATTTTCTTCCTTTCTATTTCACTAGAACTCTCAAACATGGAAAATGTCTACCTTTCTCTTCACTTCTTTTCTTTTCGGCTCAAATCTCATCTCCCAAACTAGGCTTAAATATTGATTGCCATCATTTGACAAAAAAGAAAGGGCAAAAAACCTAACCGACCACTAAATTATTGGTCGGATCATGTTTTGGCCATCAAATTATTGTTAATCAGTAATTGAATACTAAATAACTTAATCAATAAACCTATGATCATTTTGTCGATAATTGCTCATAATTTGTGAAATTAGCAGTTAATCTGTGATGGCAAAAACTTGCGTAGCCTCGGTCAACGGCCACACCTATAGACCATGTGGTATACAATTCACCACATCATCAATAATATGAATCAAAACAATTCACCACATCTGTTATGGTTTCTTTTGCTTTCATTCCCACTCAACATCCTTCAAAGTACCAAAGCCCAAATATTTTTCTTTAATACCTAGTTTAATTTTTGGTTGAAATTTTCTTGTAATTTTGGGGTATACATTTGGGTTTCTCAATATAGCTTTAACAAAAAATTTTTAAACCTAGATCTTGTGTGAGAGGCAAAGAAGACACTGAGGAGATGGAGAATGAAGTGGCCAATAAAGCAGCTAGTTCAGAGGAGATGGAAATGACCACTATCCCAGAGGAACAAGTGATTTGGTAGTGGCCGATGACGGTTTTTATGGGAAACAAGACTATGGCTATAAGGGTCTATTGAATGATTTTAATGTCCTTGGAGAATTTTCTAATGAGGAATTTGGGGTTTAAAATTAGGAGTCATTAGACAGCCATGGTTGTGAATCCATCTTTGTCAACGTTGCCACCAGATGGTGGAGGAGGTGTAGGAGCAGGAAAGTTGAGGCACTTTGCAAGGAATACTGCTGATTGAGGGTCTAGTGGACTGTCCATCTCCATATGGTGGTGGCAGGTTGGTTGGTGCCTTTGGAGAGACGGGAAAAGGGGAGATGCTGGGGAGAGAGTCAACCAAAAATATTTAATTTCATATGCACGAAGTGGCAAAATTGCCCCGCTTTGCCACGTAATCTGCTAATTTCGCAGATTAGTAGTAATTATCAACCAAACGATTACAGATTTAATGATTAAGTTATTTAGTGGTCAATTACTGATAAAAACTAGTTTGATGGTCAAAACATGATTCGATCAATAATTTAGTAGTCGCTGAGATTTTTTACCAAAAAAAAGTTCATATTACATTTTTGTACATTGATTTTAATATCATATGTGGGTTTTATAAAATTTTGTTCTATACTTATAAGTTGTTAAAAATGAGTTGCATCTTGAACAAATGAGATTACATCTTGTGCATTTAAATAAAAACCGACCTAAACGATTTTTTTGACAACATTTGAACCCTAGTCCTTTGTGACACTATGTTTTTATATTTTGCAAGTTTAGAAATTTTTAAAGTCACTCTCTATTTCCCCCCTAATATGTATAGAACTCCCAAAGTCCACAAAATTCTTTTTCTAGCGCACTATCCTCTCCACCCACTCGCTCTCCCCCTCTCTCCCTTCAAAAAAATAATTAAAAATTTGATTATTATTACCCTTCACGAGAGTGTTAAAAGTATAGCTATTAACCCAAGAATAAGGTCTTCCGATGCTTTCAAACTGAAATTGATAATGATTCTTATTGGTACATTCGAGCAAAATTTAAACTCGAAACATATTTTTCATAGGGAAAAATTTTATGTTTTACATAGACTTTCATTGATTTTAATTCATTATTACTACATTCCATGTGAAGCCAAAGATTAACCCCTCGATCCTAAGATCCTGAACCAAAGGTTATTGCCCACCACCAAAACATTAAGA